ACCCGAAAGGGCGACTTAGGCAAAAAATGGGCATCCAGGTGGACACGAAAGTCCAGGCAAAAGTTAGGGATAAAATGAAAAAGATAACAACCCGCTAATTTGAAAACCCGGAAGGGAGACTTAGGCAAAAATGGGTATCCCGTTGGGTCGAAAACCCGAAAGGGAGATCCAAGCAAAAATTAGGGATCTTAAGCGAGAGGATATAGTCTGAATGCTCTTCACGAGTGACACATGCACATCTATAGCACCTTGGTGGCGAATTGACCGGTCCAACTACTACTCTTCAGAGGCAAGGCATTGAGACAACTTAGGATATGGGAACTGTAGCAATAGCGGTTTTAATGGAAATTCGAACATATCTCATTTCCATTTATACCTGTTGTATTTTTCGTTTCTGTTTCGCAACTACCTCATATAGGAGTTGCTTCCTTGTACAAATGCCTATTCACAGGCAAATCAATAAAATCTGTTTTCATCAAAGTTGTCTTTTATTATCATGAAATGTTTTTGTATGCAGAATATGTTTTATTTGTTATTAAACATGGCATTAGAAACATAAGGAATAAAAATTCAGAAGCCAAGATAAAAATTGACTTTACGTTGATGTATATCCATGTGGGGATGTCGTATGCATTCCAAGTGTTGTTATTCCTTGCAGGTAGCAATTTTTAACGGTCACCCTAACCTATCCAGTACATGAAGCCGCCTTCATTTGATGCAGATAACTATAAATCTGATTCCCCAAGTGAGTTCAGAAAATTCGGAGTCGTCGTTTGACTCAGCACGCACAAGTGCATCCCTAGTGGAGTTAATCAAGAACGTCCCCAGTGAAGCTAAACTGGGGCATTCACAGAGCTAAACCAGGGCATTCATAGGGCTAAGCCGGGGCATTCGCAGGTGTCCATGCCCATCTTTTATCCCCAAGTGATTCAAGAGGTAATCCCCCAGTGTGCGTAAAATAGGGGCATGTATTCGAAGTGATTCACATGGTGTTCGGTATCCATTCTTTGGAATATTCAGCTCTACCATCCTCTCAATGGTTCAGGATGTATGGAAGTCTGGAAAAATTATTTCTTCCCCAATGGTATGATTCAGAATGCAGCAGCGTACCTGAAGACTCGCTTCATCAGCAATTCAATCTTCAGCAGAGTCATCAATAATCGCAGTATTGTGAGCTCCCCAGTGCAAATTCTTCCCAGTATCCCCATCAATCTTTGGTACTGCAGGTTTCCAGCATCAATATGTATTGGCATCCCCAGTAATGAGCAAAGGTTCCCAACAAGCCTTCTCTTTTCCCCGTGAAGTCTATTTCTTTGCATTTCATATAGTTATCATTACATAACATTGCATCTTCAAAAGCGCGTAGCTGATCCATCATAGCGGATCTTTGCGGCAAAAGAAATTCAAACATGCATATGAAGCATAAGCCAAATTAGGTAACTTACACGAAAAACCTGAAACATTCAAGGACAATAATATATCCTTACAAGAGGATATCATTACCAAAATCCCAATTCGATGACCTTCACCTTTTCAATGCCCAGCAAAATCAATACACCAAGTCTAAACCCAACACTCATCTGCGTTAGTTTCCTGAACACTCATCCGTGTCAGTTATTCGAACATTCGTCTGTGTCTATTTGTTCTTCATAATTCCCGACAAATTAAATTCAATAAACTTGGTCGTTCTCGTATCTTCAATTATCGTGTCGTGACCAATACCACCACCTTCTTAGAATTGTAGGTCGACCGTAGACCTAGTTTTTTGGTAGACCGACCGTAGGTCTCACCTTAGGATCTTAGATCGACCGTTATTCTAGATTCCCTTGTAGGTCGACCGTAGACCTAGTTTTTTGGTAGACCAACCGTAGGTCTTACCTTAGGATCTTAGATCGACCGTAGATCTAGATTCTCTTGTAGGTCAACCATAGACCTAGTTTTTTGGTAGACCGACCGTAGGTATCACCTTAGGATCTTAGATCGACCGTAGATCTAGATTCCCTTGTAGGTCGACCGTAGACATAGTTTTTTGGTAGACCGACCGTATATCTTAGATCAACCGTAGATCTAGATTCTCTTGTAGGTCGACCGTAGACCTAGTTTTTTGGTAGACCGACTGTAGGTCTTACCTTAGGATCTTAGGTTGACCGTAGATATGGATTCCCTTGTAGGTCAACTGTAGACCTAGTTTTTTGGTAGACCGACCACAGGTATCACCTTAGGATCTTAGATAGACCGTAGATCTAGATTCCCTTGTAGGTCGACCTTAGACCTAGTTTTTGGTGGACCGACCGTAGGTCCTACCTTAGGATCTTAGATCGACCGTAGATCTAAATTCCCCTGTAGGTCGACCGTAGACCTAGTTTTTTGGTGGACCGACCGTAGGTCCTACCTTAGGATCTTAGATCGACCATAGATCTAGATTCCCTTGTAGGTTAATCGTGGACCTAGTTTTTTGGTGGACTGGCCGTAGGTCCTACCTTAGGATCTTAGATCAATCGTAGATCTATATTCCCTTGTAGGTCGATCATAGACCTAGTTTTTTGGTAGACCGACCATAGGTCTTACCTTAGGATCTTAGATCGACCGTAGATCTAGATTCCCTTGTAGGTCAATCGTAGACCTAGCTTTTTGGTAGACCGATCGTAGGCCTTACCTTAGGATCTTAGATCGACTGTAGATCTAGATTCTCTTGTAGGTCGACCGTAGACCCCGTTTTTGGTAGATCACCCATAGATCCTGCCTAGAAGATTGTCTGTAGGTCTCACTTTAAAACCTGAGATCGCCTCTTGGCTAGGTTCTTCCCATAGATCATCATCGAACCTGAGATCGCCCGTAGGATAGGTTCTTCTATAGACCATCGTTAAACCTAAGATAGCCCGTAGGCTAGGTTCTTCCTCAAATCATCTTTGAACCTGAGATCACCCGTAGGCTAGGTTCTTCCTCAGATAATCTTAGAACTTGAGATCTGCTCTTGGCTAGGTTCTTCCTCAGATCATCTTAGAACCTGAGATCGCCTCTTGGTTAGGTTCTTCCCATAGATCATCTTAGAACCTGAGATCGCCTCTTAGCTAGGTTCTTTCCTTAGACCATCGTCAAACCTGAGATCGGCCGTAGGCAAGGTTCTCCCTTAGATCATCGTCGAACCTGAGATCGCCTCTTGGCTAGGTTCTTTCCTTAGACCATCGTTGAACCTGAGATCGCTCGTAGGCTAGGTTCTTCCTTAGATCATTGTCGAACCTGAGATCGACCGTAGGCTAGGTTCTTCCTTAGATCATCTTAGAACCTGAGATCGCCCGTAGGCTAGGTTTATCCTTATATCATCTTCGAACTTGAGATTTCCTGTAGGCTAGGGTCTTCCATAGATCATCGTCGAACCTGAGATCGCCCGTAGGCTAGGTTCTTCCTTAGATCATCTTAGAACCTGGGGTCATCTCTTGGCTAGGTTCTTCCCATAGATCATCGCCGAACCTGAGATCGCCTCTTGGCTAGGTTCTCCCTTAGATCATCGTCGAACCTGAGATCGCCCTTAGGCTAGGTTCTCTGTCAAATCACTCTCATGTTTCACCTTAGGATCATAGGTCGCCCGTAGACCTTGTCCGCTGTCTTTTCGTACAAACCTTTGTTTTGTATTGGCATCACGCCACGTTACAAGTCCAATCTCTATCTTTTCACTAGAAAAAAAAAATTCTTTCCCCGACAGATATCACAGAATAAATAAATAAACGCTCGCACTTTCTCAAGACAAACTTTTGGCATTGATATTTAATCATCTTCTACCTCGAACTTCCGAAAGGCATGTGCCAATCGTACTTTCAGGTTTAAGACGATTAAATATGGGCAGCTGTAATACCCTAAATGTTTCCTACCCTTTCACTTTTTATCTGGCTTATGCATTGTTACGTTTTTCTCATGTACATAACTCCAGTAGGTCATTTAACATTGCATACATTCACTAATAACATAACTTGGCAAGGGGTCGAGAACCTTCAGGAATTAGAGTTTCAATATCGTTTTTTCAGTAGAGATTGCTTTGAGCTAGGGTTTGAGCCTTCTTCACTATTTCGAGCCTATCCATCTCCAAGAGTTCTTTAAGCCAGTTATATTATGGATTCTGCAAGTCAAGATATCTTTGAAGATTGAGGTGCAAAAGTTTTGAGTTATGACACAAAGATGTTGTTATGAAATCATATGGTGATCAAGATGTTGTTGTTATTTTTTGCTTCTAGTACAAGTCATTCAATTGGAATTCATTCAAGAGACTCTACATTATGCATGGAAATTCATAAGGGCCAGGGTTTGAGAAGCAGTATTTGTGTTGCAATCACCACTTGGATTGGGGTTCTTTTCAGTACGCTTATGTTATCAAGTGAAGTCAATTTTGTCTAGACATAATTATCATAGGGTTTAGTTCAACGTATTAAGGTATCGCTTGGTTCTTATCATCATTGTAAGATTGGTTCAATTGAGTTTATTATCACTAATTCAGGGATTGTTTTATTACTTAGATGACAAGCTATTTATTTTGGAACTTCATGCTATAAGTTAAGGTGAAATGTTTGGTTGCAGGGGGTCATTCTAAAATGATTGAAGATATTCACTAAAAGTTCTTCTTAATCCATTCATTGGTTCTTTATCTCGTTTGTGCTTATTCAAATATCGCAATTGAATAATATTTTGGAAATCTAAATTTCAAGCAATGGAGGGAAGATACATATTTTAATCCAATTGGAAAAGTCAGAATCATTACAATTATGCTCAAGCCATATTCAATTGCCATTCTACATTACAATTCCCATTACACTACACTACATTACATACATAGAAAGTTGCTCAAAAAGGTACATTTTAAACTGATTGACCTAATCCTTAAGCCTTGCTTCATTTATAATCTTCCATGACTCTATGCCCCAATTATGCCTCATGTTCCGAGCTACTGTGTCCAAACTGCTATGATATAAACCAAACTTGCAAATGCATTAAATAAAATAATCAGAGACATGGTTCAAATTGGCGAGGAAAAAGAGAATCGCGAAAAAGAAAAGTTTTCGAATTCCAATTGAAATTCAAGTCCAAATTCGAAGAATTCAGAGGAGAAGAAAACTGAAGCAGAGGTAACGGTGACACTGAGTGATCCCGAGCAAGAACAAGAAGAAGAAAAGGATCCAATGGAGATGAATGTAGAAGAAGAAAATGAACAAGACTCATTCTCGCCAACTCCCGGTGCCGGTTTTCAAATCCTCCTTGAATAACCAGCCATATATTCACTTTACAAGATGAATTACCCCCAGGTTTGTCGCAATTTCAGTGTTGTTGCTTGGTGTGGAAAATTGAATGATATAGCTTGTGCTTCTAAAGCATGTATCAGTGATCCAAGATCAATTCTAACTCCAACATTTTGGATCCCTGTGCATATTGTGATCCTAGAGAGGCCAACTAAATGTGCGGTATTCAATGTCATAACAGATTCTCCTCGTGATCCTATCCAGTTTATTGAATGGTCCCCTACCTGTTGTCCATGTGCATTATTGATAACAAATTTCCATGGAAGGGTAACTATTTGGACTCAGCCATCTCAAGGGCCAGCTAATTTTGTACTTGACACTAGTTGTTGGCTGTGTGAGCATAAGTGGCGGCAAGAAATTTCAGTTGCTACAAAGTGGCTATCAGCGGTGTCTCCGCATGGGAAGCTTTCATCCAAATCAAGTGCTCCTGCCAATTCAAAGTCAATGTTTGAGGAGAAGTTTATTTTACAACAGTCTCAAACTTCAGCTAGTTGGCCCAATTTTTTTGTGTCTGTTATGTACTGTCATCAGGCTTAGTTCAGCTTCATTGGTCACAATGGCCTCCTAATCAGAATGCAACATCACCCAAAACTAACAACCAAAAAAGAAACAGTCTCTAACCTTCTAACAGCCTAACAGAATCCAAAAACCAGAAACAGTTTTCAACTAACCTATAAACACCTAACATAATTTCTAAACAACCTATTAACAGAAATCCCCAGTTAATTTTCCTAACAATAGCTAACCTCTTAATTTCCAAGACTGTAACTAATTCTCATCCTTCAACTATTTCTAACTTTCTTTTCATACCAACTCCCTAATATCTCCTAACTCCTGTAAATTCCAAACAGAAAAAAAACAGAAACTTCCTAACAGATTCATCTAACTAACTTCTAACCTCATAACTGCATCACAACCTCCAACTAACAACCCTCTAAACTCCTAACTATCATAACCAACTTCTAACCAATTCCGTAACAAATTTAACAGAAAACCAGTTGGCTTATTTAACTACCAGAAATAGAACAACAGAAAACCAACAACCCTCCATCTCATAACTGAATTTCTCAATTTCTTCTCAAACCTCAACAATCTATATAAACCCCCAGCTGCTTCTCAAACCTCAACAATCTGTAAAAGAGAGAATGGAAAGAGGAGAAGAATACGCAATTCATTCACACAGAGAAAATTAGTAGAAAAACTCACCAGAAAATATTCTTCTCTCGCGGCACAATTCTTGAAGCATCTTCATTCCCTTCTCAATCACTTCTTGCAACCTTGCAATCTTCTCTATCTTCACCATTTCTCCCATTTTTCACCTTCTACCTCCTCTCTCTATCTCACCCTCTAAAAATTCATCACACCACCTTCATTCTCAAACGCTTCTTCACTCTTCATTCATCATCTTGCTTCATCCTCTCAAGTGTCTGCAACAACAACACTGACACATAATAGAATTGTACAAAAGGGTTAAAATGATCATCGAGAACATAGAAAAATCACCTCTGATATTCTTTCGTCTCTGAGCATTCTCTCGGAGATCTTTGCTTTTTATTTATAAATTTCTTGAAGCTTTATGCTCCATTTCCCAGCAACTTCAATCTATCATGATCATTATCATCACGATTTTCTGCAGTTTCCTCCACGACTCACAATGAATCGACAACACATCTTCTTCGACACTTCACCAAGAAGAGCAACAATCCGCAACCTCAACCTTTACACGTTATCAATGGTTTCCATCAACTGAAAATAGAAACAGAATTGATCAGATTCCACAAAACTCACAGAAGAAGATATGGAAAAGCAAGCAAGAAAGAAGAAATTATGATATCTGTGAATCTGTCGTTGCTGAGAATAATCTTCACAACCGTCTCCGAATTCGTTGAGATTGGTTATCTAACGCTCTTCTGTTCATCCGTTCGTGGTGTCCAGATGCGGCTCTTGCTTCTCTAGGGTTTGCAGATCAATGGAATGAATTGTTGGCTTATATACAAAGAGGTGAAGACGCAGCTGGAAACAGAGCTGAGATAGAGATTTGAGTAAACGAGATAGAGAAATCAAAGTCATCGCAGAGGTTGAGATCGTCGTTCAAGAGTGAGGCCGAGATCATCGTTCAAAGAAGAATTTGGGGCATAAGAAGTGTAATTGTAACTCATAGTAACCCTAATCTCTTTTTTAATTATTTCAACATTTTTTAATTATTATTTGTTTTATGCTGAATAGTAACACCATGGATCGGACCTTGCACCCCCATAATCCCGTTGTATCATTTTTGGGGAATTAAACTTTGTGAACAAAAAAACTCCTCATTAGGCTGGGTGAAATATTGGGCTTTCAGCACTTGTTCATGCACCCTCCTGAAATTCAATTTTCACCCCCTTGATTCTCTCAATTTCCTTTCATAATTTCTTTTAATTCTTTCTTTTATGATTTTTTTAATGATGAAAATACATAGTAAAAATTGATAAAAATATTATAAGGCATTTTAGAAATTAATTGGGAACTTATTTCCCCTTTCCTAACTTTTTGGTCAATTTTGATCCCTAGTTTTACTCATTTTATGTCATATATTTCACTTGCGATTTTTGGTATGAATTGTATGCAATACTTTAATACTCATTGCTTAGTTTTACAGTGTACAGTCTTTCATAAACCCTTAGGTGATTTTGGTTCGAATTTAATCTTCGATTTAATTGAACTAAAATTAATCGTTAGGCTCCTAAACCCAAATAAACATTAGGTAGCATTCCTTTGAAATTCCGACTTTAGGGTCACGGTGCATAATAACATTAGGTTTAGAAATAGGCTAGTCTCCCTTTGACTTTTCTTCCCCTTTTGCATTTGCACTAAAACTAAGACTTCTTTTTCTTTCAAACTTCAAAAAACTTTAAAACTACTGATGAGAATCATGCCTTTACTTAGTATGGGAAATGATAAGCGGGTCTCTTATCGATCTTATTGTTCTTCATCTCAAGTCTAGGTGTGGTTCAATTCTCAAAGACTCCTTTCATGGCTAAGTAGAAAAGTGGCTAATATCTCTCTCTTGAGGTCAACTAGTCATTATATGCAACAAAAATACAAACCAATTCAAATCTTTTGTGCGTTCAAGCACCTTTCTCTAAAACCCTTTTCAGATAAGGACATGATTAATTTACTTCTGTGCCAATGCATAAGTCTCCAAAGGTCGAGCTGCGGAAGAAGGCAGAATTAACTTCGTCCATGAAAAGCACAAACAAACAAAAACATGAAAGCCGAACTACGGTAGCTCTGATTCCTCGAAATGGATACGTAGGCATTGGGGTAGGGCCCAAGCGAGCACAATTTTAATTTCCCTACATTCTTTTCTCCTTCTTTTTCATGCATTCTCCCTTCAGTAGTATAGTAGACAATAAGCATAGATTAAACACACCCATAAGATAGATAACAAGACTGGATACCGTAAAGTACTACGGGCGTGTGGGGTGCTAATACCTTCCCCTCGCGTAACATACTCCCTTACTCGATATCTCGGTCGCAAGACCGTGGCTTCTCCCTTTTCAGGTTTTCTCGATGCTTACCTTTCCCTACATGTAGGATAAAAGATGTTCGATGGCAACTTCATTGTTTGATGATTTTCACCCGGTTGTTTCAGCTGGTATCTTCATATTCGACACCATACATAAGTCATAAGAATTATTTCCGAATAAGTCTTTCCCATAGAGGGACTTAAGTTCTTTCTGCATTTCTTGAAACTGGTTTTAGATGTCATCCATTCTTTCCACAATACCCAAACATTCATACGATTCGGCATGGTAAACTTGTTCATTTCCAAACAGGATAATATGTACCATTGGAGGAGGAACAAACATCACAGGAGGAGGAATAGTCATTACAGGAGGAGGAACAACCATCCCTTGAGGAGGAGCACACATTACATGTTGCATTGTGGGAACATCAACAATTGGTTGATATCTGTTTACCCGTGGATTTGGTAAACAACACTGGTTTCTTGAAAACAAGTTTGCATGCAAGATTGACCAGGGAATCTTGGAGCAGTGCTTCAGTTCACATGAGTAGTCAAAGTGTTTTCAAAAAGGGTGCATTTGACTGGGAGCCAAACGTATTTAACTCGTAAAAGATAAGGACAAAAGGATGAATTAAAGGAAACGAAAAAGCATTTTAAGTTGTAAAAGACAATGATATAACTTTAAAGAAATTTGTAAAATAGGTTGGTTCAAACATACATTTCCTTTTCCTGACTCATTTCACTTGTTCTCTTGGTTACTTTGAGTGACTAGTGTGCAAGAATGTGAAAAGTTTGACCCTTTACAAAAGTTTACTAATTGCTTTATTTATAATACACAAAAATAACTACTTTCTAAGTGGGCTTCGTTTCCTTGCATGCCACGTGTTCTTTGTAACTTCCCATCATGAATCCATGTTCTCTATTGTAACTTCTGTTTGTGAACCCATGTTATCCATTGTGGTTAAATAAACATTCTCCCTCCATAACGTTTTACCTTTACAATTTAGGCGCTTAGGGGCCTTTTAACTCTTTTGGGCTTCTCACCTCCCTGGGCCCAATCCATTCACGATGAACTTTTCTCTGGTCAAATGCACTTACGAAACCTTGGTCGCCTGCCTGTGAAATCAACCATGGTCGACATGCTTTGGTAGTCGACTCCTCATAATTTAATTTTCTTTAATGCTCTTAAAAGACCCTTTTTGACTTTTGGTTTGGATTTCTCTCTTTATGAAAATCCGAGCCAACAAATTTCCCCCCAAAATGTCCTTTTCGACTGAAGGGGAAGAAACAAACATTTCAATCCTTTCCTCTTAGTGTGAAGTGACGTCACTGTAATCATGACTTTATTCTGCAAACATTACATCAGTAATTACACAGCCACTCTCCTACTTTCTAGCTTAAACTCCTAGGACAATCGTGGCCTCTAACTTTCCAATTTCCTCATCTCAGTTGCCATCTGTTTGACACGTGTCGGTCGTGTGCCCACAATTTTCTCCCACTTTCATCTTAAACTTTTAGGTTCTTTGGTGGTATAAATACCCTTTTCAATCTTTCGTTTTCTTTTTACGCTCTCTTTGCATCCTTAAACGCTTATCTTCCGAACTCAGCAAACAAAAAACACATTTGTTTTTACTCAAAACTTCCAATCACCTTCTATGGAATCTCCAAGCCAAATTGTTGAACACATTAACATTCCTCATGCGATTGATCTAGTTTCCACTATGCCTAAGTTCCTCGCTATTGATGGATAAACCTTTGTGTTGGAACCAACCCAAACACATAACATTGCTACTTTCCGCACTAATCTGTTGCTTCCATTTGTCTGCAGCAACACTATATACGCTCTCATAGGACCCACCTCTGATGAGATTAGGGCACCAAAAAATCTGCAAAAATGCTTCCCTGTTCATAGAAGCACAAGGCCCCCTATCGCCCAAAAGCGTCTTTTAAATTTCTCCCATATCTACAGGACCTCAAAAGTTTTTCCCTCTGCTCCTGCTGTCAACCCGGACTACATTGCATGGTTGAT